TGCAAAGTGGTAATTATTGCAAATCAGTGAGTGTGTGAGACCCATGTCCAAACGTGGACTTTTACAGGCTGATGAATTAGAAGAGGAACCATTTTTGTACAACCTTTTGTTTAAAAAACATTAAACTTGATGATTGACAAATATTTATATTTTGTGGGACTTAGTTGTAAAAGTTATACCTTGCCCTATGAACGCTTACTGTCTCTAAGGCGTCGAGTAACTGGTATTTGTCAAGATGACAAATACTTTACCATTTCAATTTTATGGGCTACGATACCCGTTAAAGTTATTATTTACAATTTTCATTAAGAAATCCTAGAGTAAACCTTTAGTACTGGCGAGTATTCTTTAAAAACTTGCACGTTCTTACGAAAAATAGTATGTTATAATGTGGTTTAAAGATCAATTTTACTTTAAATCCTCTATTTACTGTGGTGTGATGTGTAGTGCTACCAACTTCAAATTGCGACTTTAAATCAACCAGTTTTTATTTTAATTTTCCAAAGTTAAAGCGCTTCGTTAGATGAGTTTAGTAATAAATAAACAAATTACTTTAGATGTTAAAGTAAATATACAAGTATGTAATAGGTGTCATGTCATAAGTAATGTGACGTCCAAGCGAAAGAAACCATAAACAGAAACTTTTTGTAATGAACACATTCAGTGCTGGTGTAAAGCAACAAAAATATTATTACTACCGCGGGATCTAAGTTGCGATCAAGAGTAAATATATAATATAGGCGAACATAGGTTGTGATTTTTCAAAATGATGTGACTTCCCGACATACATGCGGGAGAAGCCGAGAGCTAAAGCTAATACTTTAGAAAAACTCTTCATTTATGACGTAAGAAATTACAATATTTTTTGTCTTCTATAGTTGCTATTCCTTCGATTTGCCAACGATATAGTCCTTATGGCAGAATCGCTGGAGGATCTAAGCACCATGCTCAATGACCTCAATAGTGTGACTGGATAGGTCTTAAGATGAACATGGACAAAACAAAGATCATGTTCAATGTCTATGTCACACCTATGCCGGTAGTTGTTGGGAGCACTAAGCTCGAAGTTGTTGACGAGTATGTTTACCTGGGACAAATAGTCCGACTAGGTAAGTCCAACTTCAACCGAGAGGTCAATTGACGGATTCAACTCGGCTGGGCCGCGTTCGGGAAACTACGACACATCCTCTCGTCAGACATTCCTCAAAACCTTAAAACGAAATTATACAACCAGTGCGTGTTGCCAGTGATGACTTACGGATCTGAGACGTGGTCCTTCACTGCTGGCCGTATGAGGAAGCTCAAGGTCACTCAGCGAGCTATGGAAAGGGCTCGGAGCTTCTCTGCGTGATAAACTTAGAAATGAGGATATTCGCAGTAGAACCAGAGTGACCGACATAGCCCAACGGATTAGTAAGCTGAAGTGGCAGTGGGCCGGCCATATAGCTCGAAGAACCGACAACCGATGGGGAAGAAGGGTTCTTGAGTGGCAGCCTCGTACCGGTAGGCGAAGTGTATGGCGACCCCATGATGGAGTGACGACCTGGTAAGACATGCAGGAAGTCAATGGATGCAGGTGGCTCAGGACCGTGCTTTGTGGCATTCCTTGGGGGAGGCCTATGTTCAGCAGTGGACTTACGAAAGGCTGTAATGATGATGATGATAGTTGCTATAGCAGTATAGAATGCAGTACTAGTTCCTCTACGCGAACAAGAATCTTTGCTTATTCGCGCTAATTTAGAATAGCTTACACATAATAAGCTAACATATAAATATGATAAATTCTCTACATTTAAATAAAACTAATTTTACGGATTTTTCCGCGTATATTAACTTATTTTATATTCCCGACGTTTCAAGCACTTTACAGCACCCATGGTCACGGGGGGACTGAGGTGTATGACGTCCCAATGTAAAAAAAATATGTATAAGAAATCATTAGATAAATTCTCTATTATCGCTCTTCAAGTGATTTAAAAATAAGTTAAAGGCACTTTATTCCGAAGAGTTCTTAAATGTGCAGCATATTCAGAGGTATATAGAAAAACTGTGTTTACAAGCAATTTATAAGGTTTTTGTTTATTGCAAGATCTCTTATTCAATCTAAAACAAGTCTGGAGTAGTGTGTATATGTTTTAAAATAAATGGTTAGTTTTGTGCCAGCAGCTGGTGCAAACCCACGCTTCATACATTTTGGATTGTTTGCACGTGAGTACCATGTTTTTAAATAGTAATTTTTTTGGTTATATTTGTATCGTGTGTGATATTTGAGTTAAATTATTTCAATGATTATATTTTCAATCGTAAACACTTAACATTTGTATGTTTTTCTGAATATATCAAGGCGAAAATACGTCTTAAAAATACCGCGGCATTAGGTGCCAAATATTTCAGCCGGTTCCTTATTCCGATGTATTCCGCGAAATAGTGGCGTCAATCTTTCCGTCCGAATACAATTTGGGCGTCTTCAAGGCAAGAGTGAATAGGCTTTTGTTACGATAAGACAGTGCGATTTATCATCGAAGGCTGCATCACCACTTACCACCAGGTGGGTTTGTGGTCAAGCACTGGCTTATAATTAGTAAAAACAAAAAAATAGCGATTTCAGATACTTGACTTATTTTTTATTTTTAGGGTTGTTTTTAATATAAGGCTCGCCCCGATTTGGGTTTGACAACTCAGAAAGACAATGAATATTAAAATCTATTTCCGCGGTATACTTTTGCGTTTCATTCACTACTTATAGCATATCAAAGGTAATCTATTTAGGTATTTTGTTAGTTCTTTGTATTGTATTATTATTCATCACAATTCGATATAAATTTTAGCAACTACCATATTATATTTACGATGATTTGTTAATTCAGTATTAATCCATATAAATTATGCAAAAAATATTGCATTTTTAATACTCGGAATTGGGAAACAAGATTTTTTGATATGAAACCCTATTCCGTGGTAGCAACTTATTCGGCGGTATATTCGCAAAATATAGTATTCACAATTTTACGCAGCTCGCTATGTACTTTCCTTTAGTTTCAATAACGCGCAAGTTCGTATTTCCTTTATAATAATTTTCTCAAACTTAGGTTTGTAGTTATAAATATTAATGGATAATAATTCTCAACTCAACTCTCAACTTAATGATTTCTTATATACATTAACTTAATATTATCATTTTACACAATATCTTGCTTTAGACATGACCATATTTTGCTTGTATTACTATTGTAATAAATACGAGGGGTATGAAAATAAATAAAATAGATTAGCTATGTACGATTATATTAGATAATAATAAGATTTTATTTCATAAGTATGAAATGTTTATATTGATTATGAGGATGGATGCTTATTACGCAGTCAAACCATATATCCCCACAAATTTTAACACATAATAGTGCAAAGATTATACTTCTGGAAAATTCGCTGTCACTGTCGGCTTGTGAACGAAATTCAAAATTGGTTAACGGCCGGTCGGCTTAAGAAGGAAATTCAAAATTAGTCAACATCCATACCCACGGGGTACCCACAACAACTTCTATACCCACGGGGATTATTACTCATATTTTTTTAATTATAATAATTTTGGTTCTACGATAATGAACAACGTGTATTTTTCTTCCAAACTTTTTCCTTTGCATTTTGTACACTCGGAATTATTATCATTTATTATTGATATTAATTTTGTAAATACTAGGAACAGACGGAAGCTAGTAGTACCAGCTACTCGACTCTACCGAGTCAGTAACTCATTCTTAGGGCGATGTATTATGTTTTTACAACAAAAACTCAGAAAATATACAAAATTTGACCTGCTCAAAGTTCAAAAACTTTATTAAACAAAGTTTGTATAAAAAAGGGTTATTATAATATTAAGGAATTTATGGATGATAATAATACCTAGGAATGAGGTGATCGCTACCAAGCTATTTGTAATTTGTTTTGTGTGGTTAATTGTGTAACATACATGATAGTAAGGTATTATTTAAAAAAAGTCCCGCTGGGTTTCTTGCTGGTTCTTCCAAGGACAGAGGTTTTTTTTTCAACCAGTGGTAATTAAACAACAGAGTGACTTTCAATAAATATTATGTATAATATACATTGAATAAAAAAGTTCTTGTTTCTGTTTCTGTTAGACATATGTATAATACGTGGTAGAGTCATGCTGCAGCTATATTAGTAGTATAGTTGTAGCACGAATTGGTCGGCTCGGCCGGGGTAAGACCACGCTCTCACAGAATATCATCGTAAAATAGCGACTTAACGATGCTGTGTTTTGTATGATGATTGTAAAGAACCGGAGACCCCTTGTACTGGAAACGAGACATTCCATCTTAATCGAGTCGAGAATCGAGGATAGATTTAGATATCTATGGGCCAAAACAACCACTTACCATCAGGTAGACTGTGTGCTCGTTTGTTACCCTTATCCTATAAGAAAAAAAAAGAAATCGATTTTGCGTAAAAGCTTGAGATTAAAATTGTGGTTTTTAAATTTTGTATAATTTTTTTTTCTATATAATTTTTACTTTATTAGATAATCATCAAAAGTCTAAAATCATCACTTTTTTCGGTTTAAAAAAAATCTTTTAAATTTTTCGTATGAAATACAGCCTCGATCACTTCTGATATTGCTCTCCAATTATTCGTGAAGTTTCCATTATTATCAGTTCACCCATTTCAAAGATTAGCCGAGGCAAAAGGCAGACTGACAGACTAAAATTTGTAGAATGTTTATTCATGCCTTAATTGCATGAATATAAACTCTAGGTAAACTTATAGAAACCACTTACTTCGATATTACATACAGATACATCAATTTTATTTAAATGTAAAGGCGTATAGATTAAAACAAATAACACAATTAAAAAAAAACTTTATTGCAAAAGATTATACCACATTTACAATAAAAATTATGAAATGAGCTAGCGACACAGCATATTTGCAAGGATGAAAACACGACTTCGCTTTTTTGACTCTTGATGAAAGTTTTATTTCTATCTTTCGAGTAGTTCGGGGAGATTCAATACTAACTTTGTTATAATGTTGTCAAGTTCTTCCTGAAAATTATGGAATTTAACTTTAATAGTTATAAGTAGTAACATAAGCGGTATGATAGCGAACTAAGACGGAAGCTCCAAAGCCTCCTCCGCCACTTCTTTCGGTGGGTGTGAAATGCTAGAAAATTCTTATAGTTTGCGATAGTTGACGGTTTAACAATTTCGTTTCCGCAAGACGTTATTATACGTGGCAGAGCCATGCTTTAGGATGTTGATGATGATGATGTTACGGTTGTCACACGAATGGGTTGGCTCGACCAAGGCAGTACCAAGCTCTCAGAGAATACCAGCGTAAAATATCAGTTTAATGTTGCAGTGTTTCCTATGGTGAGCATAGAGAAACCGACACCCTTTTAATTGGAAACGAGGCAATCCATTTTAGTTCTCAGGGGTGACGAATTCTGCATTTTGATTCTTAGCAATGAATTTTTTCGGCCTGATGATGAATAAGAAGCATTTCGTTGAAAATGTCTTGTTGCTGCGTAACATATAGCAGCAGACTTACAAAAGTGGACTCAAAATTGATCCATAACTCTCTACGACATGAAGAGAAGCCAAGTAGTGGTACACATATAGCCTGTAATTTTACTGAATTTGATTGCACTGTGTTAATTAAAAAAATACTCTCACATTCACTTTACCTGGAATACGCTTAACAGATACGGTATAGAAGTTTCCATGAAGTCGTTGAAAATTTCAGAAATATCATTTCCTCCAATATTCATATTCAGTTTGGACTGCAACAAAAATTATTATTTTTTTATTTAGGTATTTTCAAATTACTAAAAAAGCTTATTAGTAAATATTACCTCAATGCTTCCAAGCCCAACTTCAAATTTGTAATCTTCATCGAAAGGTTCAGTGGAGCCTGTATTAACTCGAACAGTTATAAAAAAATCGTTGACAGCGAACCTATGTAAAATATTCAAATTATCAATTCGTGAAATTTTTAAATGTTTACTTAATCTCGATAAAGGTTATAGTGCGTAGCATGCACTCATGTGCGTGCTATGCACTATTTCTTCTTTTATTTTGTTAAAAATATATGATACAGATAAGTTTCCGTTAGTCTATACCTAATTATTTTATTATTTAGAGCCATCGCAGTACATCACTTACCTACAATTTGCTGACGATATAGTCTTTATACCTAAGCAATATGCTTAACAGTTTCTCCCAACGGATAGGTCTTAAGATAAACGTGGACATACAAACATATCTTCTCGTCAAGTATACCTCAAAATCTGAAAACGATACTGTACAACCAGTGCGTGTTGCCAGTGATGACTTATGGATCTGAGACGTGGTCCCTCAGTGCTAGCCGTATGAGGACGCTCAAGGTCACTTAGCGAGCTATGGAGAGGGTTACGTTCTGGAATTCTTTGTGTGATAAACTTAGAAATGAGGATATTCGCAGTACAACCAGTGACCAACGTAGTCTTACGGATTAGTAAGCTGAAGTGGCAATGGGCCGGCCATATAGCTCCAAGAACCGACAACAGATGGGGATAAATGCTCTCAATTGACAGCCTCGTACCAATAGACGAAGTGTAGGGCGACCCCCCATTAGATGGGGTGACAACCATGCAGGAAATCAATGGATGCAGGTGGCTCAGGGCCGTGCTTTGTTGCATTCCTTGGGGGCGGCGTATGTTCAGCAGTGGACTTTGGAAGGGTTGTAATGATGATGATGATAATGATGATAATACTGAGAGCCATGTTAGCATAGGAGCCAGGTTCTCGTCATAAATTTCACAGTATGCGAGCAACCTGAGGTTGAACCTCGGCGGCACCATTGAAATTGTAGAGTTCAATTGAAAGTGCTGATTTATCAATTGCTCGGTAGCGAAGGAAAACATCGTGGGGGGTATATAAAAAGAGGATATCTGAGAAACTAAAAAAAGAAACTCGAAGACATGTTAAATACTCCAACACGCAATGGGGAAGATTGACTGACACTTCATTGCCCTTAAACCCTCTTAGAAATGAGAGGAGGTCTGACCCCAGCAGGGTAACATAATACACTAAACCTTTACTTTTGTTATGTTTATCTCGGTGATACTTTTGTAGATACGGTGAAGGACACAAGTTCTGAAGCATTTATGAACGAAAATGTTAAATAAATAAATGAATGGCACATTTTTACGATGATTTTAAATGTTAACTAAAACTAAAACAAATGAAAACTTCCTCGGTTTACTAACTTGTAAATATTATTTTTTGGTCCTTAAAAATATTTTAGGAAGTATTTCTTATGAGTAATTATTTTCATCAACGTATTAACTTAGTATTAAAATTATCATTTGTTGTTCTGTTTTACATGAAAAATAATTATTATTAGCTATATAATGCAAACAAATTTATAAATAATTCTTTAATTTTTAATTCAACATTACTTTCATCAAACTTAGTTATCTGAGCTTGACGGTCACGCGAGTTCAGTGATTTTTCTCCATCCAAAAAGTAACCAACGTGCATAAAAAGTGTTCACATCAAAATTAAAGTGAAGTGCGATCTAAGAGTCCATCTGATGGTAAGGAACAAATGCAGCCTACGGACACTTGCAACCAACTTTAAACAAAGAAGACTTCAGATGAGCTGTCACTACTGAGAACTAAAATGGAGTGAACTCAGCCTGTAATCATAACTCGTTGTACCGGAACACATCAGTGAACGTAGTGTTGCTGGCGGTAAAAGTAGATAAGAGGTTGGTGTCCATCCAGATGAACTCCTTGGCACAAAAGGAGTCTTACCAATTAGTGGTACAGAAGTTGCACGAAACAATCAAAAATATTTAAGCATTGATAGACGGGCACCTTTTCCTAAAAGTCCGTTTGGGTAGGCTACAACCTTGTTCAAAACTATTTCCCCTATCAAGTAGCAATGCTTGTACTGCATTACAGTGTGAAGGATATAGAAAAACAGTATAATTACATACAGGTTGTGAGGTATTCCAGCTTAGTCCTCAGTGGTGACAACGCATCTACAGTGTCTTTGTTATTAAAATCACCTGCAGTTACCCATAGGACTATTAGTACGTTTATCACTTTAATAAAAAAAATAAAATGAAATTACCTGCCACCGTATTCGATTTCATAGACATTATATTTATGCTTCACTTCCCAAACTGCTTTATCTGTGATAATAAATAATTTAACACTGTTAACAATTACAATAACAGTAATAAATAATATTTTCCAAAAAACAAAACAGAAAACAATTTCTTACCGATTGTTGATTCAAGTCGAGGAAAACGAAGGTATACAACGAGATCATCCTCTTCATAACGAACGTCGTAGATTATGTTACTGAGACCAATTAATTCAAAGTTCTCGGTATAACCCTTTAAATCTAATTCCCTGTAAAACAATAATTCTTTAATATTCTCGTCTGGCTGGGAAATTTCATTATTCATCCTATTATTACATCCTATCTAAAGTCTATCGCTGAACACTTAAGGTGAATATGCCACTTGTTTAGCGATTTGTAACACTGAGTATTTGCACAGACACAACCTAGTAGCTAGATCATAAACCAGGAGCTCGCCCTGAAGTATGATCGCGATAATCTACAGTCTGGTGGATCGAAAACTGCCTTATTAGAAGTACTTGCCAGAAGCCGTGCTTGAAGATGATCTATTAGGCAGATTTATTTTTTAATAAAATAAATGACTATACAAAACAATACTTTTGCCTGTATACTCACTTATTCTATCTATCTTTGACACAATATAAGGGTTATTCGCAAGAATAGTCCTGTCTGTGATGATGGCTTGGTCCTAATAGAACCTGGTATATTCTATTAAAAAATATATTATTAAAAAATAAAGCGCCAGGATCTATTAGGACCGAGCCATCATCACAAACAGGACTATTCTTGCGAATAACCCTGATATTGTGTCAAAGATAGATAGAATAAGTGAGTATACCGGCAAAAGTATTGTTTCGTATAGTAATTTATTTTATTAAAAAATAAAAATCTAAGGAGGGCAAGTTGGCAACGACTTTTTGGCTTATTTCAGTATTTGTTGGTTTTCAGGTAATACTGTTATTCATATGTAAGCCAAGATTTTTAATACGCCTACAATATGGTATAGAAATACCATTAGAAAAATAAGGGAAAGGTTTGTACAGCCAATCTTAGCCAGCATTCTTGTTCTACTCACAATCATTACTTTTTATTTAGATAGATTAAAATTAACTTATTTTCATTGTGTTTTAGTAGCAATGATAAGTTCATATATATCTAATTGTACATAGAGATTTAGGCCATCTTCGTACAAACGGTACGTATAATTGACTATTGATAACTGTTGTGATAGAAAATTTATACGTAGTGAAAACATTAAAGGAGAGAGTATACCACCTTGCGGCACGTCAGTACTACTGTCAGTAAGCAGAAATGCCTAAGTGAACTGAATGTTGGCATCCACGAATATAAGACGTAAAACAATCCATGAATATAGACGATAGTGTAATATATGTAAGAATAGAGAGAGGATTATCGTAATCAACGGTGTCAAAAGCATTAAAAAAGTCAACAAGTGCCACCACTGTTAATTTTTGCCCATCCTCACTTTTCCTTATATTTATTATCAGGATAGAGGTGGTACGATAATCCTCAGGCTATATTTTGTTATAAAATTAGAAATTTGCTTATGAACACAGGCCTCTAGAATTCTATATAGAAAAGGAATAATGGAAATCGACGAAAGTTATAAGGTAATGTATAGTTCTCATCCCTGGGTTGGAGTACTATGGTATGGCACTATGGTGCCAGCTCCTTTCATTTGAATGCATCCAGCGAAGAACTTTTTCTGATCGGCTCGAATCATTGGCGCTACGAGGAGATGTTGGATCCCTTTGTAATTTCTATCGCATTTACCACGGGACGCGCTCTGAGAAATTGTTCCGATTAATTCCGGCCGCCAAATTTTATCAACGCACATTGCGACAAAATTATTGATTGATAGGAATAAAAATTCTGAAATAGCAGCAAAAGTAAGTAAATACTATCTCGTATGAGATATTTGCAGTAGCAGTGGGTAGATTGCAACACCACCACCGCCTTTCTCGGTTCCATCATTGCCAATAAGAATGAAACCGAGAAAACAATACAAGCTCGACAAAATGAAGGGTTAAACCAACTTTTTGATAAAAATATTGTATAAAAGCAATATAAACAAAAAGCTTCTATAAAATTAGAAAAATATCTCGGAAGGAAAAAAAGCTAAATAATTCGATTGAAAATCTATTACCCCTGTTCTGCCACAATTAAGGGTGGAATGTTTTCTTAAAATCTTATGAACCCAACTATATGGAAACAAATAAGGATCATCAAAATTATACAGGCGACATTTTAACTGCCTCTTTTTTTGAAGTCGGCTAAAAATCAGTAATAACATTAGTAACGTAAGTAAACAACAAGAATATCTTACTCACCCAAGCCAAGGATAATTAAGTGAGATATCATAGTAATCCCCTACATTTTTATACGGATCGAGTCCACTATCCTTTATTGTCTCAATGGCATCTGCGATAAATTCAGCTATATCATTGTCTAAGGTTTGTGAATCTGTAAAGTAAAAAGTGCTAAAATATTGTTTATTATGAATCAAGGTAGTACTGGAAATAAGTGCACGCCTTTAATTTCTGAGCACATATATAAAACATAACTTAAGAACAGTCCCCGCCAATATCAATGAAATTGTTAATGCGATTTTAAGTATTGATTTACCAATTGCTTGGCAATGAAGGAAAACATTGTGACTTGTTGTGTGGGATAATAATTTGAAGATATTATGAAGGCGCTAACACGCGTTAGGATGGCGCAATACTCTTTCCAGGTACAAAACCCTGTTAGAGACAACATAATCTGTGTCAAACCGTCTATGTAAGCCGTCCTTTCCATCGCGGCAGTTATTTATAGTATTTTTTATGGAGGCTACGCAAGTAATAATTTCGAATGATATCCAAAAGTGGTCGATGATCAGCCAGGAAGATAATAACAATATCCTCTAGATCGCATTTCAGTCACGGTGGCTAGTCTCAACAAAGACTAGCCATCTGCGAAAGACAGGGTTATAAGATATGAGTGTGTTATCAAACAAAAGTGCACTCATTATTCCGTCACTCTCAAAGGCCGATGGGATGACAATTGGACACAACTGGAAAGAAATAAGGTGCAAAACCAATGGCTTTACGTGTTTCCCAAGGCACGGAGATTAAACACCGCTAACATCCTGATTCTAGCTGCTGCTAATAATTTCTTGACAGAAAATACAATACCTGAATATGTTTGGACCGGAATTCGAACCATCTGAATACATGATCAGCAGTTGCGCTTACGACCACTAGACCAACGAGGTATTCACCCACCAATGATGTAATTAATATTAAATGAAATTCTACGTGACAAGACAGTAAGTGATTACGCCGAATCAATTCGAAAGTTCTGACAATTATTTAAGAACTGAAAAAATCCTTAAAGTCTGTAATTTTATATAGTCAAATTAACTCAAGCGAATGTGGCAGCTTGTAGAAAAAATTGGAATAATACGAAGCAAGTGCCAATATATTCATTGTAGTTTAGTTAGATCTAGAAACTTCTCTAAAGTCATACCATTGCGTAGTTTTCCATCTAGCAGGGCGTTGGCGCAAGCTACAAGCATTATGAGAGCGGTAGCACGAAGACTCATCGTGAATTTCTATGGAAAAATATAAGAGTGGTCATTAGAAATTAGTTATACTCGTACTTTAAAAAAATACTAAAATTTCATCTCAGGGAGGATTGTCGTCATCAGACTTATCCAAAGATCTAAAGCATTTTAAAAGAGCAACCCGTACACACCACGTTGCGCATACAGATTCATAAGCACATAGAAATTAACGCCGCGTTGATAATGTTGGTGCCCATCAGCAGTCTTGGAGATTTGGTTGCAGCAATTTTGAATGTTGGATATATTTTTTTATATCAATCGGTTTTCAGGGACTCGTCAATCGGTAAGGTGCACATGGAACGGTGAGGTTAATTTTGCAAATAAAGACACATTTATATCGATATTTTCTAAGGAAAAATAGTTAAATTTTGCCGTGTAGTGGCGGTGGAAGTAAATCCATTACCCAATGTCATCATCTAAGTATCGTATAAGGTAACAGCGGAAAATGAAGCAGGATATGGGCAGCAGCATCTTCCTGATAACAACACAAAATAATATAAGACTGCGGTTGCCAACCCGCCTACTAAATGCATGGCAAACAATCCCCTACGAGGCAATCTATGGTGGAGCCTTTTGTTAGACTAATAAATGATTGAAAAAAAAATAAAAAATAATCTCGTTGTGACTTACATACCTTTCTCAACAGATTGACGCAAATAACTGTGGTTGATGTGTTTATATAATATCGATAAAAGATATATCTAAATTCAAAATGAATTTTAATGGCGTTACCAATAAAAATACAATTGAGTCAATTAAAACTCGTTTGTAACTTTAAGTGTTAACGTCAATCTTTTATTATAATTATAAAAATATATATATGTAGACTGATAACAAAACTAGTTTGTCAGATAATAAACTATCTCATACTGTTGAACATAATCCTCACTATTAGTAACAAAAGGAGACGGGCATTTCTGGGCCCAATTTATAATAAGTTGAGATATGGTTTAAAAAAGTGTTGTGTTTTTTAGTTCAAAATATAAAAAATCTTTCCTATTATCCTGCCACTTAATCAAATATAATAAATACTATAGTAAACAAGTGTCTAATAAAACAAAATGTCTATTGCACTTCAAAAATCAGCTGTTTGGTATAGGTTGTTGCCAACTTGTTGCATAACCTCACTTTTACTAAATCTTATAACTCTGCTCTGAGTTTGCCAAAATCCGCCAAAATTTTCAGTGATATTTTGATGATATATAAGCTATTAATTGACACAACTTTCATGTTTTTATAATCTGAAATAAATGTATGAAAGCGTATCAGTCTCCTCTGCACTAATTGCTAATTCTATAAAATATCTCGTATTTATTTCGTAAGGGTCCCTTTTCTGTCCAATATTTCACCTGAATTGTTATATATGCTATTTCTTTTGGCTTCATTGTTTAAAGGTTCTACAGCACTAAGTATTAAATGAACACTTAGCTCGTTTGCCACTCGTGTTACCTACTCTGTGCACTCTAATTCGATTGTAAAGAATTAAGCTAGATTTTCATGAAATCTTTTTATATGGTAAATTATCTCTCGGGGGCAACGATGATACCTCGCGTTCTATTGGACTCGTACCGACTAAAACCCCAATTGTGTTTCACATTTTCCGCAAATAGGCAGAGCCATGGAAACGCGGTCCTACCAGTGCCAACCAAGAAAAAAAAAGAAGTTAAAGTAAATTACAAAAGTGTATTGATTGAATGTCGATCAATATTACCTCTAATTAATATTTTGTAATATTCTTTAAATAATCGTACAAATCCTCTTTCTAATAAGTGGGATGCGGAAAGTAAAGACTGTGTAAGAACCTCCGAAGTAGGCGGAGTTATAGCCGAAATAAGTTTTATTTTTTGGTTTTTGACCATTTTGACCCCCTTAAATGTAATAAGAACTTTTTTCCACTATCCAACCATGACCTCGATGAAATCCTCTACGTGATAGGCTATTCAAACTGAACATGCCTAAAGTTCAAGCCACTCCTCCAAATTTTTTAGTTTTTGGCCATTTTGGCCCCCTAGGAGTGTAATGAGAACTTTTTGCCCCTATTCAACCATGACCCCCATGATATCCTCTCCATGATAGGCTATTTAAACTGACTGGGCCTAAAGTTCAAGTCACCCTCCATGTCATTTCTTGTCTTTACTTCCAATTAGTTCCAATTACTTCCAACTACTTATTACTCATTACTTCTTCTCTTATGTTTTACTTATTTCTTTTTCAAATCCACTGATTGTCTATACAAATAAATAAATATGAAGTGTCTCTTTGTAATAGCAAAATAACAGCTTTTTACTAAATGCATGTATCGGACAGTACTTATAAAGCAATTATTAAATTTTTTATCTGTCTATTTGTTGTGGCTAATCTCCGAAATGGCTGGACCGATTTTAACGGTATTTTCACTAGCAGATAGCTAATGTTATAAGGAGTCACTAACGCTAATTTAATTTTACAAAAAGTATTCGCACAAAAAAAAATTACAACCCATTTTTTCTTTTTATAAAACGTTACCCCACACTTGGATTTTCTCCTGTATAGTGGAGGCAGTTTACAAACACAGATTGCACGAGGACAAACATCCAAACAATTATTTGTAGGCCATACAAATACTTGTTCCGTGCGGGATTTGAACCCGCGGCCCCCAGCGCAGCAACTCATTGCCACTGTGCCACGGAGCCGTCAACTATGAAATCCAATCGTAATAAATTCCACGCAGATGAAGTGGCAGGGATCAGCTAGTTTTGAAATAAATATTGATGCACTTAAAATAGACTTACGTACAATATAATTTTGCGTGTATAAATTCCTTTAAAACGATCTATATACATCTTTCTTTATGTATTTTTCTTTGCTCTCTAAAGTGTAGTGGCGGTGTAAGAAAATTCACTGCCACATATCATTCCGTGGGTGACGTAAGAAGCGACAGAGGGAAACAAATCACGAGATGGGCAACAGCGCCTTCTTAATAACGGCTAAATATAATAACGTGCAATTGCCAACCCGCTAGCCAAGCGTGGCAACTATGGCAAATAAATAATATATGGCCCTAGGAGGCAATCTTTAGGGGACACCTATGTTCAGTAGTGGACTTTAATATGCTGTTACGTTAACGGTAACGGATCTTTATTATATATATATATATATATATATATATATATATATATATATATATATATATATATATATATATATACATATATATATAATAAAGCTGCCAAAATAATAAAAGAAAATAAGAAATATTCCTGATAGTAAGCAGGGTTTGCTACTGGGTAGTGTTCTTTTATTTAAATAATTTTGAGAATATTTTTTAACATCAGAAGTGGAATAGTTTCTAATTATATATATATATGACGGCTCCGTGGCGGAGTGGCTTAGCAATGAGTTGTTGCGTTGTCCTTTAGGCATTCTCTCCCAGTCAACCCGGGACGTGTGGAAATTAAGTGATAGGTGACAAAATAAAATGAACAATAGAGTAAATCCAGGAATAAAACTACTGATAAACTTAAAAATAAACTAATATTATATATATAACCATGGTAACGGCGGGGCAGGGGGTGCTAAGAATCTCCGGTGGAGGTTCGGTTGCCACCTACGACGACTCGACCTGGCAACATACAACGCACGCACCCTGAGGACTGACGAGAAGATTGTGGAGCTGGAAGAAGAAATAGACAAGTTACGCTGGCATATTATAGGATTATCCGAAGTCCGAAGAGAGGGGGAGGACACGGTAATCCTCGAATCCGGCAACTTGCTCTATTACCGGGAGGGCGACCATCTGTCCCAAGGAGGTGTCGGATTTATCGTCCACAAGTCTCTCGTTAACAACGTTGTAAAGATTGAGAGTGTGTCGACGAGGGTTGCGTACCTTATACTCAGAATCACCAAACGGTATTCGCTGAAGGTCATACAGGTTTACGCACCAACCTCGGCACACCCCGATCAGGAGGTGGAGGAAATGTATGAGGATATCTCTAGAGCCATGCATTCCTCCAAAACCCAATATACGGTGTTAATGGGAGACTTCAATGCAAAACTAGGCACAAGAGAGAACGGTGAGCTGAAAGTAGGGAAATTTGGAATAGGGCAACGGAACCCAAGGGGCCAGCAGCTGGCCGACTTCATGGAGAAAGAGGGACTCTTTATGATGAACTCTTTCTTCCAGAAGCGGCCCCACAGGAAGTGGACCTGGTCGAGCCCCGACGGTTCGACAAAAAAATGAGATTGACTTCATTATGACGACCAGACGACAACTGTTCAGTGATGTCTCAGTGATCGCGAGGGTGAAAACCGGCAGCGATCACCGAATGGTTAGAGGCACACTGAACCTAAACGTTAAGTTGGAGAGGTCTCGTCTAATGAAGTCAACGCTCCGTCCCCCTCGTGCTCTAATCCAAAGTCCCGAAACCTTTCAGCTCGAGTTACAAAACCGTTTTCAGTGCCTAGAAGACTGCAATGAAGTGGACGATTTGAATGACAAGCTCGTGGAAACTGTCCATGCGGTCGGAGCTAAGTTCTGCAAGACCCGCCGCAGAAGAACACAAAAACTCTCCGATCACACTCTTAATCTCATGGCTGTTAGACGGGAGATGAAGCAACATTCTTCAACAGATTTAACAGCATACAGGCAACTGAACAGACAGATCTCCAAATGCATGCGGCGGGACCTACGCAAATTCAATACAGCTCGTATTGAAGAAGCGATCGAGCGGAACCAAGGCTCCAAAGTCTTTGCCAGAGATCTGTCTGCCAGAAAGCGCCAACTGTCAAAGCTGAAGACAGAATGTGGCAGCATCGTTTCCGGGGCACCTGAGATTTTGAGTGAGATTGAGAGGTTCTATGGGCAGCTGTACACGTCATCGTTGGAGCCGCACGCAAGTGTGAGTAACGATCCAAGAGCGAGTCTTATCCGACATTATTCCGATGATATCCCGGACGTCAGTCTGAGCGAGATTAGAATGGCTCTCCAGCACCTTAAAAAC